ATAAATGATTTAGTCTTAATGCATGGTATATAACTATAGATGACTAGGACATTATATAAGAGGAAATTGTTTTTAATTTGGCCGTCCCCATTTTTTTAAATTTTATTTTTTCAGTTTATAGTATTATAATTGCTTGCCTCGTGCAAATCAAATGTAGTACTCTCTTTTATTTATTTCATCGTTGTTGGTGCATTAGTTTTTTTTTTAAAAAGTAAAATTTGATTTCAAAGAAGTATAATTTGTTATTTAATTAAATTTTAAATGTACTTTTTATTGATTTTTTTTTTTATTGAACGGAGGAGTGTATTTACAAAATTTAGTGACTTCTCACAACAACTCTGATCTTTTGTTTCTCATAATATTCAGACTTCTATCTTGACCGACTTTCCTCAATTCGATGGGGATTCTCGATCATATATACTTTACCCCAACTACAAACCTTTTTGTTGCTTTAACTTAAGAGTTGTATGGAAGACCAATTAGAGTGGTTGAATGTTCTAATAATTGCTTTGTAAAGTGTCGTTTAACTAAATTGTAGTTGTAATGGTCCACTACTTCAATCACAAATATTTTAATGAGTGAGATAAAAGTTCAATAAGAAATATATGATTTGAATAATTGAATTGTGTCTATGTCAATCTTACTATCACCGTTCTAACTTCACTATTCTCTTTAAAATAGTCTTAATTGATTAAAGATCAATATATCCTCTCCTCTTTTCATATATTGATTATTTTACTTCAAGCAAACAAGCTAAGTTTGATAAAGTAATTGAACAACAATTAAAACTTTGTATGTAAATTACTATTTTTTTTTGTGATGATGAAGAAAACTTAACAACTATTATATAATAATTTATAAATCACACGTAAAAGAAAAATTACAATTAAAAAATCTATGCAATAAACTCCACTTGACATTATTTTGTAAGCACATAATCTTAGATCATATCCAAGACACTTTCTAAAGACAAAAGTAATTAGTTACCTCATCTTAATATCACAACAAAAGAAATAAGGTCAAAGGTTAATTAATCTCTTATTCAAATAAGAATGGCGATATAATGTATATCGTACTATTTTTAATTTGGAACTGTATTACAAACAAAATGCATGATATATATTATTAGAGTGTTTAGTAAATAGTTCAATGGTTTAGTGGGCAATATTTAAGGTAAGAGACTAAGGTTTGAACTTCGGCGGTGGCAGTGTAGGAATTATGTTCAAAGTGGGCAGATTCCTTGTGCGTGTGGGGGCCCTTTGGGGTAAGAGTGTTTAGTAAATATCTTATCAATTTTTAATTTATTAAATTAAGTGTTTGGTAAATAACTTTTTGGTTTAATTTATTGGTGTCAATAAACTAAAAATGAAAAAGAATAAAGTTGGAATAGCCTTTTGGTTATAGTTGATTTTTTTTTTTTTTTTTGAGTTCTACTGACTCTATTACAGTCTAGAGTAATGTTCATAACTACTTTCTCACTGAAGCACACAGAGTTAATGTCGCTTCCACTGAGGCTCAAATCCACAACATATGAGAGTGCAACCTTGGTGCCATTAGATCACAAGGTCTTGGCAATTGTTTTTCTTTTTAAAAGTCTAAATTATCCTGAGTAGTGGTTTTTTGAAACAAGTGAGTAGTGGTTGGTTATTGTAATGTTTATGTTTTTATTCAATTTTTCTTGAAAGTTACATTTTAATATTGTTGAATTATTATTATTATTATTATTATTAAAAACAAAAACAATTGTTAAAATAGTAAATAATAATAACAACTATGGTGTAGTATAGAGTGCACGGGTGTTTTGTTGTTCTTTAGTAATTGGGAGTTATGAGATTTAATATGCAATAACAAGCAATTGGGTAAAAGAACCAGAAAATCGGCATGCATGAAGCTAGCAACCCAACAACAAGTCATAAACACTAATAACTAAATAAGAAATTAAAGAACAAACATATATTAACAATAGACAATCACTAAATCCTTTGCAATCTCAATATATATTATGCATTTTTTTCCCATAGTACAATAATCACAAACAAAGCATCAAAATAGATTATACAATTTTTACCGAATAGTTATGCCGTGCATCTGTATGTACCATGCATGGTGCATACAGATGCAAAAACGACGTTGTTTTATTAAAAACGCGCGTCTCCCCTTTAAAAAAAAAAAAAATTCAGGTTCGATTCCTAGTAACAACATTATTTTGTTCATTCATTATGGAATTTTAGTTCATGGATTATGGAATTATAGTTCATCGATTATGGAACTATAGTTTATCAAGTCTGGAATTATAGTTCATCGATTCTGAAATTTTAGTTCATAGATTCTGGAATTTTAGTTCATTCATTCTGAAAATTTTAGTTCATAGATTAGATTATGGAATTATAGTTCATCAATTATGGAATTATAGTTCATCGATTATGGAATTATAGTTCATCGATTATGGAATTATAGTTTCGAACCTAATTTTTTTTTTTTAAAGGGGAGACGCGCGTTTTATAAAAACGACGTTGTTTTTGCATCCGTATGCACCATGCTTGGTGCATACGGATGCACAGCATAATTTGCCATTTTTACCCATATCCAAAAGATTCATGACATTTAAAGTCTTTTTAAATATTATTTATTGACTGTGAACATCTAATTTATGAAACGCGTTCCTACAAACTGTCAATTCATACTATTAGGTGGTAAAAAAAACTAACACAATTAATATAAAATAATTTAATTACATGATTTATTTTTATGTAATACTCCGTAGTATTTTTTTGAAAGTAATACTCCGTAGTATAATTGCATTAATTTGTTGGTTTACCAAATGATTATTTTTTAACATTTTGATTTGATTAAAACGCTATAATTAGTCAAATTTATCAAACTTTAACAGATATGCTGATAACCAAACACTTCCTAATATGTATATCAAGATCTCTCCTTGGCCTTAGTGCTCTCATGCTAAAATATATAATCACCCGTTTAAATCTGATTTTTTTAATCTGAAAATTTATGTCAGATACTTGCGGGCAGGATTAAATTAGGGGCTTTGGATTAAATAATCAAAAATTAAGAACCAAAAACTTAATACTGATATGTTTTATTTTTAGGAAATACGGATGTATACCAAAAATTTAGTAAGAATACATTAATTTTTATATTCATTAAGACTAATTTGTGATATATTCAAATATGTTAGTATGTCGGTATTTAGTTAGCTAGCAGGTATATAAACCAAAGTAAATAAGACACTGCACGTTTTTTAACCTAAAAGCCAAGATGATGAAATCATGAAAATCATTAGTCCTTTTTGCTAAGCAAAGCCAAAATTCATTATATTTTGAGGTGTGAGGATGCATATACAATGTAGTATTGAGAAATTGTAGAACTATGATGTTACTCTTAACTTGGGTATCACAGTGTAATTCATTGACTTAGCAGATGGGGTTAAATGCACGTGTATTTTAAGGGATTTGCTTACTTTGGACATAATCTCTACATTGTTGCTGTCTAGTTTTAATTTTTTTTTCAAATACTGTTTACTGAACCAATGAGTTAATCAGGGCTTGTTTGGTTCATTTCCTATAATCCTCTTTGGTCATATAGTTGCTTTATAGTAGGAGAAAATGTAACAATAATGACAAAATATTCGTGGGTATTCATGGAAATTTATGGTAGTTTAGTGATTGATTATTGATGGTGTGATAATGGGTATTCATTTTAGGATAATTGAGGTTTACGAGCAATCATTACAAAATAATGTAGAATAATGATTATTTATTGGAGATAAGTGTGTTGTAATTGTGAATATTGATCATATATATATATATATATATATATATATATATATATATATATTGACTAGTTTGAGACCTAACTCTCCCAGGTTTCAAGACTTACACACCTCCGATCCTTCCAATTAATCGTGTGAACTTTTTTGGTATCTTCATAATGTCCGCAAAGAAAGTTCATACAAATCATGTCAATGTCATTACAAACACTTACCAAGAGGGCCAGCAACTGCATGGTGTACGTGGGAATAGTGGCAAGAGAAGCTTGGACCAACACTCTCCTACCCACCATGCTGAGAGAACTAGCTTTCCAATTGACAAGTTTTTTCCTCATCGATCTTCCCTATTACTGAGGCAAAGGTGTCTTTAGACACCCGAGTTTGAAGAATGGGAATACCAATGTAAGATCCGAATTGACTCGTGAGAGAGATATTCACCACTTCACCAATCATATTAGTATTGGCTTTACCAGATTGATCTCATGATCTGAATCATCTATTATCTTCCAAACAAGTGGGACATCATCCCATCAAATAAGTTTAATAGTTTAAAGAGTGTTATTAAACTATATTTGTTTCAAAAAATATATTGTATAAAATTAACTATTATGAAAAGTTATTATAGTAAATGTTTTAAATTTTGACTTAGTTAAGTATATACTCCTTGTGTACCAAGACTATGTGATCTAATGGTACTTGGGTTGGACTTTCATTTAGAAGGTTGTGAGTTCGAGTTTTAGTTTGATTTTTTGTGTTTCAGTAGATTAAGAAAGTATATGAACATATACTACATTGTAATAGAGTGAGTAGCATTCAAAAAAAAGTATATACTCCTTGTGTGTCTTATTGTACCTGTCATGTTTATTTATTGATCAAATCAATTCTTTCTTATTTATTTATTTTCTTTAATATTTTTAAATATTTGTTAATATTTTTTTTCCATGTTTTATACATTTATACCTAAATATAGATAGGACGGTGTATTCAAAACAATTGGCAGAAACAATCAAAATTGCAACATAAGATAACAGCTGCATCGAACTAAGCTGTGAAAACCTTAACCAAACAGAAATCAGCCGTGGCTCCACTCACATATTTCCGTAGATTTTCCTTCAATTCACAACGTAAAGTAAAGGTCACACGCTCACACTCAACATTAAATAATCCGCCTTAGCTTGTCGTTATTACGTGCCCTATTCCCAGGATACTTACAAAAACCTCAACTAACGGCCATGGAAATCCCCGTTTGAACGAGCAAATATGGATCGGAAAACGAGAATCACAATTAAAAATGGCAACCGCGTTCAATTCACCCGAATCCTTAAATACCCCATGCATTCTCAGTCTCCCTTCTCGTACCCACCTTGTCTAACTACATCTGAAAACGAAAAAAGCTCATTTCTTTCTTCAATTCAATACCCTCCTCTGAAAAAAGATTTGATTTTGAGATCGAGGATTTAATTTAATTGTAGGTAAAGAACAGATCAGATCGAAAATGGGAGGTGGGTTTTTCTCATCATCGAAGCCTGGATCCCCTCTGAGTTTCCGGTCAAAATCACCGTCGCCGTCGCCGTCGCCGTCGCCGTCTCCTCCTCGCTGTTCGTTTTCCGAAACGCTCATGAAAGAAACGATTGCGACCGTAGAACCGATGATCCGGAAATGGGACCTTGAAGGGACGGCAACGTACGAGAGAATCTCCTACCTTTTCCGGGATAATCGGGTAGAGGCTATGGAGTTTCTGTGTTGCGTCAACGACTTGCAGCATGCTATGCAACTAGTGGCCATGGAGAATTCGAGCTCTGAGCAGCTCGTTATAGCTCATAACTTGATGCAAATCGCCATGAAAAGGCTTCAGAAAGAGTTCTATACTATTTTATCTGGAAATCGCTACTTTCTGGATCCCTCAACCAGGTGTTCCGGAGGAGGATCTTCGACGAAATCCAGTGTTTCAGATTTGGGAGACGATGCTTCCGAGGAAGATGAAGAGACAGTTAACCGAGCCGCGGCGGCGAGAGTTCCCGATACGGCGGTTGCGGATTTGAAAGCCGTCGCGGAATGCATGGTCGGAGCTGGATACGGAAAAGAGTGCATGAAGATTTACACCATAATCCGAAAATCCATCGTGGATGAGACTCTGTATTATCTGGGAGTGGAAAACTCGAGCACTTCCCAGATTCAGAAAATGGATTGGCAAACGTTGGACGAGAGAGTTAAGAATTGGCTGTCTGCCGTGAAAATCGCCGTGACAACTCTCTTCCTCGGAGAGAGGATTCTCTGCGGCGAGGTTTTCTCGGCTTCCGACGACATCAAAGAGTCGTGTTTCACGGCAATCACAAAAGACGGCGCGATGTCGGTGTTGGGATTTGCGGAATCCGTTGGGAAATATAAGAAGCTATCCATCGAGAAAATGTTCCGTTTTTTGGATCTTTACGAGGCGGTTTCGGAGCTATGGTCGGAAATTCAGTCCATTTTCGACTTCACTTCCACCGCCGCGGTGAGGTCTCAGGCAGTGATGTCACTCCTGAAGCTCGGAGAAGCCATTAGAGCGATGCTTACGGAGTTCGAGACGGCGGTTCAGAAGGATTCCTCCAAACCGCCGCCCGGCGGCGCCGTCCATCCGCTCACTCGATACGTGATGAATTACCTCGTTTTCCTCTCCGATTACAGCGGCGAAGTTTCCGAAATAATCGCGGACTGGCCGTTGTCGACAAACTCGCCGTTGCCGGAGGCCTACTTCTCGACTCCTCACCCCGACGACGACGATTCCGGCGCCTCCGCCGTCTCCGAGCGCTTCGCGTGGCTCGTTCTCCTCCTCCTCTGCAAACTCGACGGCAAGGCACAGATGTACAAGGACGTGCCATTATCGTACCTGTTCTTAGCGAACAACCTAAACTACGTCGTTTCGAAGGTCCGACAATCGAACCTGAACCTCATTCTCGGGTCGGATTGGATCTCAACCCACGAAGGGAAGGTGAAACAGTACGCGGCGAACTACGAGAGGATGGGCTGGGATAAGGTGCTGTCGTCATTCCCGGAGATTCCAACTGCCGACCCCGTTTCTCCGGCGGAAGCAAATGACTGCTTTACGAAATTCAATTCCGGTTTCGAGGAGGCCTACCGGAGACAGAGTTCGTGGGTCATACCCGACCCGAAGCTACGCGACCAAGTGAAGATTTCCCTTGCGAACCGAATAGTTCCGGGTTATCGAGATTTGTACGAGGAGCATCTTAGCAGATTCCGTGGCGCGGAATCAGTGGTCAGATTTACCCCTGACGATTTGCAAAATTACCTGTCTGACCTGTTTCACGGAATGAGTATTTCAGGCGGGAGCAAAGCTTCAAACCGCACTTCATCGCCGTCACCGTCAACATCGCCGTTACGCGGCCGTTGACGCTTTTATCCAAAGCAACCGACCATAGTATCTTGTGTACAATGTAGGACAAACAATAGAGGCAATGCATTAAAGAGTCGTATTAGAAAATAAAATATTAATTTTTTAATATTACTTCCGAATGTAAATACCGTTATAACTGGCTTTCCTTTTACTTTATATATTATTGTAGGTCCAACTGAACATTTGAAATGATATGAATCATGATAATTTTTTTCAATTTGAGTATACTAACACTAGTGAGACTCAATCCACAATTATTGTTTTTAAATTTTACTTTTGTGACTAATTGGGTCGTCAATGCGGGCTATTTATATTATTCATTAGGGATATGATAATGTATGCTAATTAAGATAAGTTCAACATTAAACTAATCATTAATGCCAATAATATCTGGTTCCACACTTCCACTGCTAAACTACGTTAGCAGCCATTATTGCATGCAAAAGGTTAAACGAAAACGACCCCCATATTGCGTAACACAATGATAAAGTACGACAAATTAAACCATAAAAGAAATGTGAAAAGAATGAAGCTTTTGATGCAAGTGGGACACCATTCAGTCGTGATCATTTCTTTAATCATTACGGAGCATTATTGTTTATTATATTCGATAAAATTGCATAATTACTATTTAAAGGTGTGTACATAATTTCATATATATTAGACAAGCAAGAATCTACCAAAGATTGAGTGGTCTAGCTTCTAACAATTTCAAACTCCGTCTCTAATTTTGCATCTTCCAAAAGTTGACGAAGCTGTTTGGAGAGTCAAATATAGTGATATTTCGAACTCTAATTTAACTTAATTAAGTTATTAAGGTCACATGATCGAACCCCGGTGGTGGAGTATTGACTCTTTAAACTGTAATAATTAAAGAAAGTATAAAACAGATACATACTACCTTGTAATAGAGTCAACAGTATTCAAAAAAAGGTCAGTAAGGTAGTTTAGCTTAACCAAGTCAATGCTTTCTTAATTGAATCCCACTTAGCCTAAACCACTTTAAATGTTGACATGTGTTGGTTTCGTGATTCGAGAGTAGTCACTCGGCGGGCCAACATAACCGATCGAATGAAAATGAGATGTAAAAAATGAATATAACAATAATTTTAACATGAAAATCAAAAAGTAAAAACTACGGGCTTTAAAATTTTGGACGGTGCCAAGCTAAAAATTCACTAATTTGTAGGTGATTTGTACATATAACATTATGTAGGGATGGAGCTGTCGGTCTCTCTAGAATGATGGAGCTCCCCGCCTTCTTTGTTCTTAGGCATTTTTTTATAGTAGATGGTGAGTAATTCATGGGTAGTTAATAGGATAATCAATGGGATTTATGGGTAATTAGGGGGATGTATGGGTAATAAATGAATATAATAATAATTGGGTAATAAATTGGATGTTATGGAGGGGTATTGGGTACATCATTAGTCCCTTATTTTTTTTTATCTCGCAAAGTATATTATATTGTCGCGTTTGAAAATCAACTTAATAGCTAAATTTTAAACTAGAATTTGCCGGCTCCTTTTACAAGGAGATGCAGTTGACTGAGTACCGATTCCTTTTACAAGCCTCCAGTTAATCCTAACATCAAGATATTTTTTCACGGCCTGTAAAATGAGTTGGCGCTCAGTTAATCGCGCCTTCTTGAAAAAGGAGTCCAGAAAAATGATGGTGTTAGGGTTGGCTGGAGGCCGGCTTGTAAAAGGAGTCGGCGCACAGTCAATCGTGCCTCTTTATAAAAGGAGTCGGGAAAAATGGTGTTATGATTGGCTGGAGACCTATAAAAAGAGTCGTCGCTCAATCAACCCCGCCTCCTTGAAAAAAGAAGTCGGGAAAAATGCTGGTGTTAGGGGTTGGCTTGGAGGCCTGTAAAAGGAGTCGGCGCTCAGTAACCACACCTCATTGAAATAGAAATCGGGAAAATGTTAATGTTAGGGTTGACTGGATGCTTGTAAAAGAAGTCAGCGCTTAGTCAACCGCGCTTCCTTGTAAAATGAGTCGACAAATTTTGGTTTAGAATTCGACTGTTAAGTTGATTTTGAAATGTGACAATGTACTTTCCTACGCCATGCTTCGCGAGACACAGAAAGTGAGGGACTGATGATGGATACCCAGCATGGGCAATCAGTCGTTACCACCTAGCAGGCAGTCGAGCATGACAGTCAAACTCAACAATCAGCACTTGGGATATAATCAATTAGCTTAGCTCCCTAATTATCTTTCATTTCCATAACCTCCCATCCCATTAATTGGAGCTTTTAATTCCATAATCATAGCCTTTAATCCCATAATTAGAGCCTTTTATCCAATTAAATATAGCACTTAATCTCCTTTGTTATGCATAAGTGCCGAGACCATATAAGCTTTCCTCTACCATGTACATGACCCTACGGGAAAAAGTGGGTGGTGAGAAGCAAGCAAGAGGGAGCTATGAGCTGAATGATCATCCACACCCGATGAAATATCTACAAAGTCACTTACAAAAGATAGTGAATTTTCTAGCTTGACACCACTCAAAAAGATTATTTATGATTTTTATCATTTGATTTCTACGTTAAAATTATTGTATCTATATATTTATTTTTTAGATTTTATTTCTCTTTCAATCGATTATATTGACCCGCCGAGTGACTACCTCGAATCACGAAACCATCAACATGTTTGTCTTGGTATTACTATATTGCCAATATTTATTAACTTGCTGCTGTTATGTTAATTTTGTTTATTATTTAATTTATTACTTAATGTAATATTAAAATTTATGTGATATTATCATGTAAATAACTTTAATATGTTTAGATTTTATCAATGATTTGAATGTATATGACATCATTTTTATCAGTAGAAATATTGATAGTATATTAGATAGCAATTGTTATATTATGGATTAGGATAAATTTTTGTATCGTGGACTTTGGTCCAAAACACATTCAATTAACGTATAATTAAAAAATTAATTACGTTCAGTTAATAAATTATGACCCTATTACAATTAACGTATTATATACCTATTACAATTAACATATTATATATTTTAATTTATTTACAGGTACATATTATGTTAACTGCATGTATATAATTTGAATGTCATTTTTTATAATTAACATTCAAATTTGTCAATGGTTGTGGAAATAAATTAATATATTATGTACTTTAATTTATTTACATGTACATAATGTGTTCTCGATGGTTGTGGAAATAAATTAAAGATAAGATAGGAAATTTTTAAATCATATTTGAGAAATTTGAATTCCATTGAAAATAGTTTCCATGAATCAAACACAATATAATTTACCAAGGACCTTGTGGTCCACTAATATTTGGTTGCTCTCCTCTGTAGAAGTCTAAGGTTTGAGTCTCGGTGTAGGTGTAGATTGTATATGTGAGTGTCCCTTCCTTTGTAATAAAAAAAAACACATTATAATTTAATTTTTCTCAAATTTTAATAATTTTAGTTCCCTAAAAAAGACTTTCGGCGAACCAAACGCCCCCTAAGTCTTTGGATTTTTTGACTACTAAGTACTAACACTGTAAGACAGGGAGCGTTATGTTATGCATCCGTGTTTACCATAAAAAATGACGTTGTTTTGACGTTGACTTAAAAAAAATTCCATAACTTCATAATTATACATCCAGAATTGCATAACTACACATCTATAAGTTCATAACTATACATCCATAACTTCATAACTATAAATCCAGAATTGTATGCATAACTACACATCTATAACTTCATAACTATACATCCAGAATTGCATAACTACACATCCATAACTTCATATATAACTATAAATCCAGAATTGTATAACTACACATCCATAACTTCATAATTACACATCCAGAATTGCATATAATTATACATCCATAACTTCATAACTATAAATCCAGAATTGCATAACTACACCATGCATAATTACATATCCATAACTTCATAACTATAAATCCAGAATTACATAACTACATATCCATAATTTCATAACTAAAAATTCAGAATGAATGAACTAAAAATCTAGAATGAATAAACATAATGTCGTTGCTGGGAATCGAAACTGGTTTTTTTTTTCTTAAGTGGGACGCGAATTTTTAGTCCAAACGACATCGTTTTTGCATCTGGTGCACACGGATGCACAGCATAATTTGCCGTAACACAGTAACACCTGCTGGACCATAGCCCTTTTGAAAGGGTTGGTGAAGAGATCGAGATTTCTGTTGGGCTACAACACAATATAATGCAAGGTTCTTATGGGGGCTTCAAAAGGTTCATTTAGCAATTCAAGCAATTATATGCCGGCAATTTATATCCTACACCACGGCACGCGTTGCATTATGCGCCCAGATGCAAAATGACGTCGTTTTAATTTTTTTTTTTTTGAAATTTTCCGCCCCAGTGAATGGCAGTAATTTTTTCTTTAAAAAAAAAACCCGCTGTTCAAGAATGCACATAATGTTATACTAGAATACACATAATGTTATACATGAATGTACATAATTATATAACAAAATATACATACTCTTTTTAAAAGATAATACACATAATCTAACATAATACATAATAAACATAAACTTTTAACATAATACACATCAACTCTTAACATAATACACACAAATTTTCTGATTCGGATGTACATAATTGTATAAAAAGAATGTACATAATTGTATAAAAAATACACATAACTGTATGAACCAATACACATAACGTTGTGAACAAATACACATAACGTTGTGAACAAATACACATAATCTCAGTAACTTCCTACCGCGCCTCCCAACACTACCCCAAAACGACGTTGTTTTGGGAGGCGCGCGGCGCACAGTGCTATGTGCGCCGTGGTGTAGGATATAACGATTGTTATAGGCCGCCTATTTATACATTTGAATACAAATCCAGCATCTGATCTACTAATCCAATAACAATAATTAAGAGCGGTCCAAATTTATGGCTCTTTAAGTCCATATCCAAGATAAGATATGATGTTGAGCACATAGCTAGATTTGATTTAGAAATAACAGATTAGTTTTGTGATTAATACAAAACCAAATTGTGATTAGTTTTCATTGAATCTCTTGATTCTATCCCCTTAGGTACATTTGCGTGTAATAGTAAGGAACTGAAGCTAAGGTGTAACACCCCGAGTACATGTAATATTTTTAAA